AAAGACACCCCATTCACATGTGAAGAATGTTGAAAAGTTTTGTCCTTTTGCCAAAATTTTGGAAGTTCTATGGCCTTCTGTCGTAGAGAAGTGAACTGTCAATGTTACCTTCAACCTTTCCTCGAGCGATTTCATCATTTTTGGTGTTAACTCCAATGTCTTCAAAACCTTGTCCTTCATACTTCTGATCTTGTCGCGGATTTTGAACAGTGCCGTGTTTTCGAAGAGCTGTAATTGTATGAATAGGAAAGGAGAAATGGCTGTAAGAAACTAAGCCATATGTCTACTGAACTTGGAGACGGAAAAATGAAAAACTGAGACGAATAGGATACAGAGCATCAAAAGACAGAAAGGAAAAGGGAACCTTCTTGAATCCAACGATAGTTGCATTCTTTAGTTTCTGTCCAAAACTACCATCGCCAGAGAACACTCCTTTTACTTTGTCTACAATGCCTCCATCGACAGCGGCAATCAAGAATAAGGTGAGCAATATCAGCCTCATTCTGAATTGTGAAAACTATTTTCTGTAATATTAGCTTCAACTCTACCCATAGAACACATCATTGCGAAACGGAAACGGAAGTCAAAAGTATAAGATTGTGTGGTGATGGACACACTGCACTGCTGCTCTCCGAGTTTATATCCATCTCCTCCGACTATGCTTCAGAATAGGACGGCTGACAAAATATGGTCTAATGTCATCTGATAGCGGAACTAAATACAGAAACCCTGGACAAAATCTTGTATGTGTGTCGTTTTCTGTTTGAACAACAACTCATGGAGAAGTGGCGTGGGAGTGTTGCATAGCAAGAAGAGATGCTGTGAGCGGACCTGTGATGTCAAAGATGGAGAAGCTAAACGCCGTACTGCCGTACAAAATCGCACACAAGATTCGCAAGTACTGATTCCGAACTCCAATATCAATAAAGCTTAGGACGACTAAGGGGAGCAACATACCTATCTTGGAAACTTTGACGATGTGTTGGATGCAGTTTGGTAATG